GAGTGCCTGTTGCTATGGGCCCGCTGCTCCCAGGCGCTGGTACCAGACAGAACCGGGCTGTGCGTGTGTGCGCCCACTGCAGCCTTGCTGTGCATACTGGTGCGGGCGAGCGCGCAGCAAGGAGACTCGTGCCCACGCTGCTGCCTCTCACCCCAACGCAGTGCACAGGGCGTGCGCCCGCCTCCCTGCTCATCTGGAGCTTTCTCTTGGCCAGTCAGAAATCCTGCCCCACCATCCACCACAGTTTATTTATTTGCTCAACGCCAGTGCACAGCAAAGTGATTTCAGAATTGTTCCCCTGTCCCGTGAGAGACACCAGTGGGACTCCGGCATTCACGCACAGTTCCTTGGGTCCTGTCCTCACAGTTTTCACCCTAAACATTTGCAGACTTACTGAGGCCAGCCTTGCCTCCCTCCCCTCGGCACTCTGCCAGTCTGCACCCCTCCCCGTCCTGCTGAGCTTCTTTTGATAGTTTGTATGCACTCAAGGTAGACTCTTGTGTGGTACAGTTCCATAGGCTAAGGCACATACGTAGTCATCTGTCACCTGGTACTATATAGACCAGCCCTGTCCCCCAAACTCCCAGAGCACATACTGCACCGTGGCCACTGCCCACCATACCCTGGCCTGTGCTTGGGCCCTGTACCCCACTCCTTCCAGGGAGCCGGAAGGCAGGAATCCTACAGGATGCAGCCCTGGGGTCCAGCCTCTCACTAGCAAAGCGCGTTTACCACCCATGGTGTGGCCGCAGGAGTTGCATCCCTGCACCTTTCTCTCTGAACAGTGCCACCGTGGGAAGGCACCAGTTTGGTGGAGGCACGTCTGTATTTCCAGTTTTAGTGATTAAGAACAAAGGTCCTGTAAACATTTGCATGCAGTTTTTGTGTAAACACGAATTCTCAGTTCACTTGGGTAACACCTGAGAGTAGCATGTCTGCATCACGTGGTAAACCTATGTTTCCCTTTATCAGAAACGCCAAACTGTCGTTCAGAGGGGCCACCCTGTCCGCGTTCCCACCCGGAAATAACGAGTACCTGTGGTCGCGGATCCCCCGGTGCCCGTGGCCTTCTGGGTCTGGACGTTTGGGCTGCTGCAATGGGCTTGTGGGGCCCTGCGTGGTGTGAATGGGCCTCTCCCCAGTGACCATGCTGTTCAGCCTCTTCTCACATGTCCATTTGCCATCTGCGTGTCTTCTTTCTGTGAGACAAATGGCTTCAGGGTCTGTTCACATCTTTTGCCCGTTTTAAAAATTGGGTACTTGTTCCTTACTGTTGAGCTTACCTGTACTTTAAGTGTTGCTGATACAAGTCCTATATCAGATCTGTGATTTACAGATTTTGTTTCCCAATCTGTGGCTTGTCCTTCATTCTCTTCAAAGTACCTTTTATGAAGCAAAAGTGTTTTGTAAGTACAGTTGTCAGGTTTTTCTCTCATGGGTCATGCTTTTGGTGGTGTATCTAAAAACTCATTGCCAAACCCAAGTCACAAAGATTTTCTCCTATATTTTCTTTTATATTTTACATTTAGGTCTATGGTCCTTTTGGAATAAACTTTTGTGTACAGTGTAAGTTATATGTAAGGTTCATCTTTTTTGCATATGTCCAATTGTTCCAGCTCTGTTTGTTGAAAAGATAATCTTCCTCCATCCAATTGTCTTTACACCTTCGTCAAGAATCAGTTGACTGTCTTCAAGGAAGTCTATTTCTGGGTTCTCTGTTCTGTCCCGTTGATGTATGTGTCTGTTTGCCAGTACCCTGCTGTTTTGATTGCGGACGCTTTGAAGTAGGTATTGAAGTTGGGTCCTGTGAGTCCTCCGACTTTGCTCCTTATCAGAGTTATCCTGGCCGTCCTACATCCTGTACTTTCCCCTGTACAATTCAGAGTCAGCCTGTCACTGTCTCTGGGCAGGCTTGCGGATGTGTCCGTCGAGACGCACTGACTCTCAGTCATGCCCACGGTGCTGACCCTTCCGATCTGTGAATAGGACGTCTCTCCATTTATTTACATCTTCTTTTATTTCTTTCATTATGTTTTGTAGTTTAACATGCACAGATGCTGCACATATTTTGTTAGATTTTTATCTATGTACTGTTTTTGGTCGCTGTTATAATTTTTAAATATCAGATGACATTTGTTCGTTGCTGTGACGAAAGAGTGTGACTGACTCTTGTATATCGATCTTGTATTCTGTGGCCTTGATAAACCAACTGATTATTTCCAAGAGGGTTCCTTTTGTTAGACTCTTTGGGGTTTCCTACGTAGACACTCGTGTCATCTGCTAATAAAGACACTTCTGCTTCTCCCTTCGCAGTGCGGAGAGCTCTGTCCCACCCCCTCAGCGCACCGGCCAGGGCTTCCCGTGCGGTGCTGGGCAGGGTGGGGAGAGGCACATGGTGCTGCGCTCCAATATCTGGGAGGAATCCAGCCTCGCGGCTGTAAGTTCCACCTTAGCTGTAGGTTTTTCACAGCCACCCTCTATAGATCGATGGGCTTCCCTTCTCTTCGTGATTTGCGGAAAGTTTTTGTCACGAACGGATGTTGAATCCTGTCACGTGCTTTTCTGTGTGCCTGTGGACATCGTCACGTGGCTCTTCTGACTCGGCTCGGAGTGTGCTGAGTCCACAGACCGCCCTTTGGGTGCTGGGCCCGCCTTGCGTCACCTCAGGCTCAATTGGTTGTGGGGTGTCACCTTTATTTCTTCTGTGGTGAGGGTTGGCAGTTTGTGTCTTTCAGGTGACGGGTCTGTTCTGTTTGTCGAATCCATGATCTTCTTTGTACTCTTCCTTTGTTATCTTTTTCCTGTCTGGGATCAGTGGCAACATTCCCTTTTTCATTCCTGGTTTTCGCGTGTCTCTTTCTTGGTGAGTCTAGCTAGACATCTGTCGATTAGACTGATCTTTTCAAAGAATCAACATTTGGTTTTATTCATTTTCTCTTTTTTTTCTTGTCCTCAATTTCATTGATTTTTACTCATACTTTAAATTTTTTCTTTCCTATTGCTTATTTTATGTGTGCTTTGCTGTTTTTCTGATTCTTTAAGGTAGAAGTTCAGATTTGAGACCTTCCTATTTTTCCAACATGAGCATTTTACTGTAAGCACTGCTTTAGCAGCATCCCACAATTTTTGTTATGTTGTGTTTTCAATTTTAATTCAATTAAAACTGTCTTGTAATTTCTCTTATGCCATTAAAAAAATATCTGTGGTTCATTTAGAAGTGTATGGTTTAATCTCCAAAGATTTAGGTATGTTTCTAGACAACATCCCATTGCTGATTTCTAGTTTAATTCTATGTGGTCAGGGAGCATATTTTTTAGATTTCATTTCTGTTCTGCATGTTGCTATTTGGTCTTCGGCTCAGGATATGGTGTGTTTTGGTGAATGTTCCACATATACTCAAACATTGTATATATTTTGCTGTGGGATGGAGTGTTCTAAAGATGTCACATAGTATTGTCTTGCCTTTTGATACTATATGGCAATCTATAGGTGTCAAGTCAGTTAATATACAGAGAAGATGTACATGTGTGTATCACGTTAGGTTAGTTTATAATATAAGCTTTGTTGCTAGGTTCACATATTTAGTAGTGTGATTCCTCATTTTACATGGTATCCTTTTTTGACCCTATATTGTTCCCTGTTTTTACATCTTCTGTCTGTTATAGATACAGCCATCTAACTTTCTTTTGATTATTGTTTGTGTGATGTCTTTTTTCTGTACTTTTACTTTTAACCTGCCTATGTCTTTATATCTCTAGTGGATTTCTTACAGACAACATTGATTTGGGACCTGCTATTTTAATCCAGTTTGAAATTTCTGTCTTCACAGGTATGTGTAGAACATTCCAATTTAAAATGACAGGTTAAAGGTACTCTCTTGCTAGTTGTTTTCTATTTGTTCTTTCTATTCTTCCTCTTTTCCTGCCTTCTCTTTGGATAATTGAGCATTTTTATGACTCCATCTTCGTATCTATATTTTTAATCAGAATTGTTTAAGAACCGTTTTTCTCTCCCACAGGACTTCCCTTCTCCATTTCTGGGTAGCCCGTGCTGCCTCCCCGTTGGTGACCGCTCTGTGTGGTGTGAGGCCCTTCTAAGAGCATGTCCCCACCGCTTCCCTCCGGCCTCTGTGCTGTTTCCTCACGTGTTTACTCTACATTAGCCATGAACACACAGTGCATTGTCAGTGCTTTTGCTCTGGACCAGGGGCTGCAAACCTGAGCCCCTAAACTTCTGCCAGGTGTGCGACCAGAGCACCTCAGTCCCATCCCTGCTCCCGGGAGGCAGTTTATTCACTGTGGAAGTGCAGTCAGGCAGCCTGTGTGGGGGGATCTGTCCTCCCACCCATGCGTGCGTCCCACCCAGTGGCGTCCGCGTGGGTCTACCACAAGCCTGCCTTGTAGCTGGCCTTTCCTCTTGGTGGAAGTGTATTTCCGAGCTCCTCACATTCGCAGGCAGGAGTGCTGTGCTCTGTCCCGTAGTATCTCTGTGCTAACACCTCTGTGCAAACAGAGAATGGAAACATCTTGTAGGGGCGGGGACACTAGAAGCAAATTCAGAAACTTGTGGTTTGAGCGGAGGGGAGCAGTGACTCTGGCGAAATGGTCCCTTGGGCTCCGAGCCCTGTAGCGCGCTCTGGGGTGGCGCTGTTGCCCGGGCGCCGGGTTGTAGGGATGTCCTGTATGGTAGCAAGTGCTAAGTGCAGCCTCAGATGGCCTACTAACCATTTACCTGCACCCGGCACATGTTTTGGGTAAACGTGTGTCTGTTTTGCATACACATAACAAGCATGTTATGCATACATGAGCCTATACACTGACTTCTCCCCATGGGTCTCCCTGTATTTTCCTCCAGATTTTGAGAACACGTGGACCCCATGAGTCCATGCTTTGATCGCAGCCATTGGTCAGGCTCTGGAGCGTCCGCCCCCCACCCCCCATGCGTCGGAAGGCACCCAGTGGCTGTGCTCCAGCTCAGGGCCTCTTGTCTTTGTCTTCCAGTTGTGGCGTTCTTAGTGGCTTTCCACCAGAACAAACAGCTGATCGGAGACAGGGGACTGCTGCCCTGCAGAGTGTACCTGAGGAGTGTACGGCAGTACTTCCAGGGCCAGGCCGGCTGGGCCGCACTGAGCTATGCGCCCACTGTGCTCTGGCTGCTGGACTGGTCTCACATGGACGCGAACCTGGACGCCCTCGCGCTTCTGGGGCTGGGCATCTCGGCCTTTGTGCTGGTCACCGGCTGCGCCAACATGCTTCTCATGGCTGCACTCTGGATCCTCTACACGTCCCTGGTCAACGTGGGACAGGTCTGGTAAGTGGGGCACTGTGATCCCAGGGCGCAGGGACTCGGGGCCCAGGCCTGTGGCCTCGCACACCTAGCTGTGTCTCCCAGCCACTGGGGCCCAGCTCTCTTCCCATGGCAGTTCAGAGTGTCATCGTTTTAACTGGGCTGTGTAGACTGCTAGTCGCCAGTCACCCAGGCCCCGGGCCTTTCTCCTTGGGGAGCGGTCGTGGTTCTGTCGGGAGTTGCCCTGCCCCACCTGACACCAGCTGTCAGTTCCGGAGCTGGGGATCCTATGGGTGGAGGGGGGCTCCCAGGAGGCACTGGTGGTGGGCTTGATTTGGAAGCTGACTTGCCCTGCACCTGCCCCTTGGACTCCTTCCTGATTCAGTGGAGCCATTCCTCGGGGTCACTGCTCAGACGGTCCTGCGCAGGGCGTGGGCTGCAGAGCTGAACAGGGCAGAGGTGGCCCTGGAGGGATGTGTGCCCGATCCATAGGGGCATGGACAGGAGAAAGCCTGCTGAAGCCCAGCTAGGGCAGCATGTGGCCCCAGGAGGCCTGGGGAAGTTGAGGGGCCATGAGGTGCTGTCCAAGCAGAGGTCCCAGCGTTGTTTCTGGCTGGGGCCCATAAGAAAAGGGGACCCACTTACCAGAGGAGCACAGAGGCCCCTGTGAGGGAAGGTGAGCAGAAGCTCTCACGTGGAGGCCCGTGTCCATGTGGACATGCAGGGAGTGGACACTGACCCAGCCCACTCCCTGCACATCCACACGGACACTGACCCCACGTTCAGATCTGTGACCTCCGGGACCTTGAGGGCACCTCTCAGGAGGGAACTTCTACCCAGACTCCACCCCCCAGGGCCCTGGGGCTGACCATTAGTCCACCTGCTGGCTTATTGTGGAAGCCCCCATGGGCTGCAGCATGGACAGCCCTGTGGCGGTCAGCCCCTTCAGCTCCTATTGACTGTGCCAGGTCCCCATGCCATCCACACCACTGTGAACAGGCACTGGGCCCCCTTCCCAGCTGGAAAGTGCTGGTTAGCCTCGGGTTGGGTGGGGAACGTGGATGGTACTCAGCACACGCAGGAGGTGCATCCCCGTACCCCATCTGCAGGAAAGAAGCCTGGGCTCCTCGTTGCCCTGAAACCCCGCTGCTCCCGGGCCCCTCATGTTGACGTGTTCCTGCTGCCTGCAAACCTCGTGGCATGCAGAGTGCTGGGGTTTGTGCAGAGATGGGGAAACCAGCAGTGTTGTCTTGCCTGAGCCGTGTGCCTGGAGGGAAGGCCCAGGGGCTGTTGCAACTGTGTGCTCAGCCGTGGGCAGCTCTGTTACACAGTGTCCATGTGGCCACTGAGTGGCCCACAGAAAATTACTGTGGTGCATGCACCATGCAGTTCAGTTCCACGAAGAAACTATGTTGGTTTCCTAGAGAGAAGATATTTTACATTTGATTTATTTCGTTTTCTTGTCCTAAAGGACCAGACAGTGAGGGTGGAAATAGGGGCTGGTGCACTGGTAGGTGGAGTCTGGCCTCTCAGGTGGGCTGTCCATGAGCCTGGGTAAGCTCACCCACCATCTGCTGCTTCCCACGTGGAGTGCCCGGGGACCTGGCCCGGGGTGGCAGTCGCCCCAGTGTCTCTAGCCAGTAAATTTTACCAGCACTAGAGGACTCTGACTGGGTTTTCCATGTGTCTCAGAAGCTGCACACCAGAAAGGGTCAGTTCTAGGTGCCTTGTCCCATTCTGACAGCGAAGGTCACAACGCTCAAGTGCCCCACTCCAGGGACACGCGGGGCAATGTGGCCCATGTGTGACAGGTGGCTTGGGTGGTGCCATACTGTACCAGCAACTGGAAAAAAGTGTTAAGTTTAAGGTTTACTTCAAAAAGCGTTTCCTGGTCATGTCTAGAATATATCGATCAAGAAAGGTTAACCTCATGTTGAAATTTCTGGAGTTTAGTCTGACTTCTCACAGGCAGAAAGAGTCTTTTCCCATTGGGAGAGATATTCTGCTCCCCTTCCTTCGGGCATCTTAAAAAAATGGGGTTGGAATTAATTTAAGCTTGCTAAAGCGAAGTGACATAGAAGTGCATCTTCTCAGAAATGATGCATGAGATGTTTCCAGAAAGATGTAAAAAGGACAAGAAAGGGCGTGAGTGGAGACCAGAGGCTTGACACACGCTCCCAAGGCCAGACGCCTGCACCCACGGCCGAGCTGCGCTGCCCTCTGCGCTCGGTGCGGGGCCTGCGGTCAGGCCTTGCGTGGGTGCACGTCCCCGAGCAGGCTGGTCGGTGCGGCCCAGGCGCCCTCCGCCTTGAGGTGCTTTCAGCCCAGCCCTTGACTCGGGGTCCCTGGTGCGCGGGAGCCTTGGGCTGTCACAGTGACAATGAAAACCTACCCAGGGGAGGCCCCTCAAACGGGAAACGGGCTTTTTCTTGATGCCTGAAAATAAGAGCAAGACACAGTATGTTCCTTTCAAGTCCCATTTAAGTTGAGAGAAGGGACTATTTGTTTGGGGTGAGATGCTCAGATAACAGACACCGTTGGTGGGACCTCTTTCAAGTGTCATCCAGCTGGCATCCGTGGCAGGGAAAGGAAGCCCCCACAGGGTGAGGAGGCGCCAGGCAGGTGCACGTGGCACTTCTCCGTGGTGCCCAGCCTGGCCTCGGGTCGCTGGTGGCGGCTGCCTCTGCCCAGCTTGCTGTGTGCGAGCAGGGAGGCTGCCTCGCCTGTGGCCTCCGCTCTCCTAAATGGCCGTCCTCTCAGCTCCCTGACTCACGTCCATGCCAAGGCCCCAGCCTCAGAAACAAATGTTCTCTGTAGATGTGGGGACTCCACACTAGCGTCTGGGGGTAGGTAGAGGCCTGTGCCCAATGGCACTCGGTACCTCCACGGCCATGTCACAGGGCAGAGCAGGTGGCCGGGATGTTCTGCACACTCCGGAACCTGCTCTACTGACCCATTCTTGATGCTTGGCAGGCCAGGCGTGGGCCCAGCGCATCTACGCTTGGTGGTGGTGGTCGGGGCCTCAGCACAGGGAGGGGGTCCGCGGAGCAGCCCTCACTGTGGGGAGTGGAGGATGCGAGCTTTTAGGGGAACAGGAAGACTGACCATCAGCTCCTTGTCTCCAGGTGGCAGGAGGCACAGGGAGGGACAGAGCAGGGTATGCGATGGCCACGCCGACACAGCGTGCTTCCTCCTGGGTCAGGACGAGGGGCTGAGACTGGCCGCTGGGGTGGGCTGCCCCTCGCTTGGGTTCGGCTCCCCGGCAGGCCCTCTCCAGGATCTGTGGACCCAGAGGCGTGGCACATGGGCCAGGCTGAGAGTGGGGAAGGTGCTGCCACGTGGCCACTCAGCCCACCCTGGACCATGTGCTGAGGCCACTCTGCCCCCCTGAATACCTGGGGGTCGTCACTGTGGTGTCCCCACCTCCACAGTCTGTACAAACACAACATGGCCTTTACCCTGGGTGGGGCCCCAGGAGACCAGGGACTCAATCTCCTGACTTGGTTTCTGGCCTCTCTGCTGCCAGCGCCCACGTGGCCCGTGTTTGTGGGGCCACTGGCTCTCCCGCTGCCACACCTCTGTGGTTTGTCAAGGACCTACCATCAGCTTCATCTTGAGTTTCTGCCATTCAAGGCGGTTAAAACGTAGTATTTTCACTTGCTGGCAAATCTAGGTGACGGTCCGTGCCTCCCTCCTGTCCCTCGGCCGCCGCCTCCTGCCTGCCCGCCTGTGTTGACACCCAGGGCAGGCAGTCTTGGTTTTCAGGCCTTGGAAGCTGGGATTCGCTGCCTTTCAGACCAGGGCTGCCACTAGGCCCCTTAGAGAAACCAGGAGCCACTTCCACGCCCAGGGTCAGGCCTGGGCACTGCCTGGATGTCGGTGGGAGGTCGCTGGGGTGCAGGGAGACCCCCACAGGCTTCCTGGGGGCTCTGCTTTGGAGGAGCGGTCACCTCCTTTGTGGCATTTTCTGGGGTGGCCCTGCCGCCTGAGGGGACAGTGGACAGGTGTGGGGCGACTGTACTGAGGATGCCTCGACAGTGGGGCAGGCGTGAAAGGGACTCTGCGCCGGCCACTGGACACTCCAGCACTGTTTCCCCAGGGAAAACGTCGGTACTGAGGCCTAGCCGCCAAATGCCACTGGGTGGGTGGGTCCTGCCACAGTGAAGCAGGGCAGCGGGCTCAGGGCCACTGTGGGGTGCAGGGTGAGCCCGTGTCAGGGCTTGGGCTCCCGAGGATGCAGGTGCAGCAGCTTGAGCAGCTCTGGGCCCCCAGCTTCCCAGCAGCCCCTCCTTCCATCATCAGGGATCGAGTGTGATCAGAATAGGCTCTGTCCTGTCATCCCTGTGGGCACCCAGCCCTCTCTTTACAGGAGGCCTGTGCAGGCGAGGGCACAGCGCTGTCTGGCTGGAGGGGCAGGGAGGGGGTGCCTGTGAGCAGGGCCGGCAGGCGGGCAGCTTCTGCGCGTGGCTCGCGTCTCCTGCTCCTCAGACGTGGTCAGGCTGAGGTACGAGTGGATTGACGGGTCCTGTTCTTGACTGTCTCTGCCCATCTTCTGTTGACTCGGCCCCTGGCCGTGTCGGGGTGGCCCTGCGTGTGCTCCCCTGGAGCTTGAGCCGCTGGTGATGTTCACGAGAGCCAGAGATGGGTCACTGGCATTGCACAAGCTCTCGGTGACCATGAAGGAGTCTCAGCACAAGCGGCGCTGTCCCATCTGAGCGACGGGTCCTTGTCAGGTGCGGGAAGCCCCCACTGGCTCCTGCTCCCGCGTCTCCAGTTGGCGTTGGCTTTTCTAGCCCCTCTTATGTGCACTTTACTTTGGCAGTCGTCCTGAAGGCCTCCTGTTGCTGTCGAGAGTAGCTGTTAGCTGTCCCGCTCTCTTCCCACCCTCTTGGCCCCCCAGAGAAGAAAGGATTCTCTCTAGAAACTTGGACTGAGGTTGAGAGGCTCGGGGGGTTCCTTTCCTGCAAGGAAGCTGCCTTTGGCACATCCCTCTGCCAGAGGGGATGGAGCATCGACTTCAAAGAGTGCTGGGAGCAGATGCCAGGGGCTCGGGCGCTGAGGGGGACCAGGGCCAGCTGCACGCCGTGCTGTGCGGCTGCTCTGCTCTGACCACCAAGGGGGAGCACCTTGTTTTGACTCTGGGCCTCAGACCGGACACCCCATGAGGACCTGCTGTGGTGCACAGCTTGCGGCCCCTGCTCATGAGGCCCCAGCTGTGGTCACGCTCAATGCACAAAATGGATTCCTGCTTAGGGTCATGAGGCTCCAGGAGCAGGGTGGTGCTGCCTCCACCCTGGGCAGCAGCAGTCTCGGTGCCCAGTCGCAGGAGCCCAGGCCCCAGGGGCATGGGCAAATGGAGCTGCGGGTGCCAGCCGCACCCCAGAGCTTGAAAGGGACACCCCGATGCGCTTGTCCCAGCCGCACGCTCACAGACGCCTGCGCTGCCGGCCTCTGCGGGGACACAGCAGTGGGAGGCCGTGGTCAGCGCACACAGACAGGCCCTACAGGCCCTTCTCTGCCCTTGCCCTTGAGCCTAACCACGTCACGGGCCTGTGCACCATGACTGAGATGCAGCCTTGCCAGCACCGTGGTGGTCCCACATCCCACTGATGGTGCCGCTGCACTGCCTGGCCCCATGGGACACCCACCGCTGCACGTACCCAGGGCCGCTGCCTCACCTCCTGTGCTTATAAATTTTTGACAAAGGAAGCCAAACTTTTAATATGTTCCTATCCTTTTGTTTTTCAGGTATTCATTTGGTAAGTGGACCTCCTTGGGAAGCACGGTAAGAGTCTGGCACTGTGCAAGGAGTGTGTGTCTGTGCCGTTCCCTGGCGCCCCTGTGCCTGGGCATGTGCCCTCACCACGTTGTCCCAATGCCGAGCTGGTATTTAACCTGACACCCTGCCCAGAGTGCTGGACGCCTGCAGGCATGGGACCCCTGGCTCCAAGTCCTTGTGCGTAGGGACCGCCCCTGTGTTCCGGGTAGAGCAGCCCCACAGCAGTGGTGGCACCACCTCATCACTAGGGGTCTGTCCCCTAGGCCCTGCGTGAGCAGAAAGGCCCCCAACACACAAGCTCGAACCCCACAGGCCTGCGCCTCCCTCTCCAGGCAGTACCGAGTGCCCAGTGGGCACAACCGTGTGGACACCCCTACTCCAAGGAGGATTCACCCCAGCAGTAATGCCAGCCGGGTGCCCCACACGCGGCTGAATTTCTGTTTGGTTTGGCTGGGGGCATTGGGTCCCCCACAACCACGCTCTGTGGGAGACGCTGCACCCAGAGGATGCCTGCAGAGTAGAGATTTTGCTCAGAGATGAGCAAGTGGTGGGACCATGGCTGCTGGCTGGGGCATAAGCGGAGGACAGCCCGCAGGTGGACCGGACTGGATAGGCCCTGGCCCTGTGTAGCTAATGTGTAGGTCCAACCAGCTCATGCGCTGTAACAACAAAAACCTCGGCATCCTCCAGGGGGACTAGCAGAACCCACGCACCCCACAGCACAGCACCCTCAGCACTGGGGACACAGTCCCCGGCCACACAGGACCCGAAGGCAGTGGGTGCCAGTCCCACCCTGGAGGCAACTGCCGCCCGTGACTACATCCTGGGTGAAGGGAGCATGAGAGCTCAGGAGAGGAATCAGAGATGCAGCAAAAAGCCAGGTGGAAGTTTCAGACCTAAAAAAATGCAGCATCTGAAATAGGAAATCCCCCGGAGGGACTGGACTGCAGGGAGGAGGGGGACCGTCAGAGGCCCCCGGGCTGAGGAGACAGGCGACAGGTGGAGAGGGGGCTGGACGGGAGAGAGCAGGGGTCGGCGTGGGCTGCTGGAGCCTGCAGGGAGGGGCACAGGATGGCAGGAGAGTCTCCAGGTGTGGTCAGAGACACAAATGTGGAGCCAGGAAGCCCGGTGAGCCCCAGACGGCATCCACAAACAGGAAGCTGTGCCTGCTCCTGTCGCCAGTGCTTTGAATCGAGGGGAGGGGGCTCTTGAGAGCAGCCAGGGGGACTCCGAGAGGCACTTTGATGGCCAGGGGCGGCACGCAGCATGTCTCAGTGCTGAAAGCAGGAAACTGCCCCCCCAGGACCCGTGCCCAGCATGATGCCGTCCACAATGGGGGCAAAATAAGGCCAGAGTCACATTGAGGACAAGTAGGAGAATTCGCTGCCGGCAGAAACACACACCAGACTGCCAGGGCCACTCGCCAGGTCCTCCAGTCCTCACACATGTGCGCAGGACGCGGAAGTCGGCAACCTGTGGGTAGGCTAGAAGGCTCTTCCCCTGCTTCCCACGACGTGTGTGTGATGGCTCAGAGTGAGGTGGGTCCGCTGTCTGTGAGGCTTATGATGCGTCCAGCAGGGAGTGCACGTGACACGCGTCCCAGGGGACACCGCGGAGGGCAGCAGTGCACCCGTGTGATCACAAGATTTCCACATTTTATGTGAAGTGTCTCAATGTTACTTTTAAGGGTATTTGAGAAGTCGAGGCTGTGTATTGTCCCTAGAGCGATCACAAGACTGGGAAGCCAGCAGACACACCAACAGAGTGAAGTGGCACCCTAAAAACATTCGGGTGACCCAAAAAGCGGGGAAACAGGAACACAGGAACAAAACTGAGTGTTTAACAGGAAATAGGAAATTAAGGGGTAAACCTAAATACCATGTCAGTAACTATATTAAATGTTAATGGACTAAACACCCCATTTAAAAGGCATAAATTACAAAACAGAAAAAAGTGAGATGCAATTAGATTCTACAGGAAATGCACATTAAATATAAAGACAGAAAGTAGATGGGAAGATACATGCCGTGAACACGGCAGTCAGAAGGCTGGAGTGTCCATGTCAGGACCAGACAAGGCAGAGCTCAGGATGAGGCGCGACCAGGGTGGACAAAGGCGTGCGTCAGGGCAGAGAGGCCCCTCATCAGGAAGACATGACAGACCTCAGAGCCCATGAATTCAAGGGGGACAGAGACGGTCCATGACCAGAGTCAGGGCTTCGCCACCTGTCCCCTTAGCTGGCGGGACGAGGGTGTAGGTCTTCTTAGTGGCGCTGCGGGTGCCCGCTTACTGTGTGACCTTCCGTTCAGTGGCACACGCCCAGAGGCAAGCATAACCCTTCAGGGGATTAAATTATGCGAGGATTCTGCTTCTGAGAGACCCTTTCTCCCACCTGCACAGAGAGCAGGGCTAGAAATGCCTGCAGAAGCCACAGCTCTCCTCGATGGCATCACCAAGCTGAGTTTGTGGTGCAGCTGGGGGGCCTGACTGGGAGGGTGGGACCCGGGGGTTTCACCTGTGGCAAGGCCACGAGAAGGGTTCCCTCGCTTGCTCGAATCTCCCCCTACGGGATTCCTCCCAGGCTTGCAGGGAAGACTGGGGTGGGGCAGGAACCGAAGCAACAGCTACCCCCGAGAGGGCCCAGGCTGTCCGCAGGGCAGGTCCTCTGCCGAGGGCAGTTGGTGAGGGAGGAGAGCCGGCGGGGAGCAGAGACGCCCCGGCACCCAGGCACAGCCAGCACCATCTGGGAGAGGCCGCTCGGGTCTCGTTTTCTCCTACAAAGAGAAAGCCCCGGCCCCAGGCCCCAGGCTGTGCCGTGGGCTGTATCAGCCCATCACCTGGCTGGACGGTCCCGTCCCTGTCCACTGGCAGCCTCACTGAGGATGCATATTCCTGCGCAGTTACATTTAGCTTGGCGGCTAACTGTTCTTCTACAACTGAAGTGATAAAAAAACCACTAGATACCCCCTCCCACCGCCTCCTGCTGGAGAAGTGGGCCTGCTGACAGCGGGTCATTGGGGCACCACAGTCAGGGGTGCCCAGGTGCCACACCAGCAGGAGAGACCCTGCAGTAACGGGATGGCTTGCCCAAGGTTCTAGCAGGAAGGACGGACAACCCGCGGAAGTGCAGGAGCCATTTCAGCACGGGCAGCGAGCGTGGGGAGCACCAGCGCCAGGGGCAAAGCAGCCCAAGCTCGGCTCCCCCATGGGTCTGTGGCAAGGGGACGAGACCCCTGAACGTGAAGATGTCCAAGATGAAACACGAGCAGGAGAAAGGAACTCATCCCAGCGCCCTCCCCGAGGGGCTCCCCCGGGTCCCGGAATCCTGTACCTCACGAAGCCCCCTGGCAGCAAAGGCGAAGGAGCCGGGGCCTGTCCTGCCTGGAGGGCGGAAGGCACTTCCTCAGGCAGATGGGTCTGGCTTCACGGGAACTGTGGGTCAATCCAAGAAAGGAGGAGCAGCGGGATTTGTGAAGATGAGGGCAAATACAAACATTTCCCCCCAGATCTTAGTGGAGCGAGAGTTTGAGTTTGAAATTTAAGGTGGAGCTGCCAGTGTGTGGTGGTCTCTCAGTGGAGTGGACCTGCGCGGAGCAGCCGCGACAGACTGGCTCCATCACAGGGTGGAGAAGCTCTGCCCGTTGAGGGTGAATCCTGGGCGATGAGCTTCAAATCAGTTGCGGAAACTATTTACAATAGCAAGAATTGGAAGCAACCTGAGTGTCCATCAGCAGATGAATGGATAAAGAAGATGTGGTACATATGCACAATGGAATACTACTCAGCCATAAGAAGAAAACAAATCCTACCATTTGCAACAACATGGATAGAGCTAGAGGGTACTATGCTCAGTGAAATAAGCCAGGCCGAGAAAGACAAGTACCAACTGATTTCACTCATCTGTGGAGTATAAGAACAAAGAAAAACTGAAGGAGCAAAACAGCAGCAGACTCACAGAACCCAAGAATGGACTAACAGTTACCAAAGGGAAAGGGACTGGGGAGGAGGGGTGGGAAGGGAGGGATAAGTGGGGAAAAAGAAAGGGGGCCTTACAATTAGCATGTATAATGTGGGGAGGGCACGGGGCGGGCTGTGCAACACAGAGAAGACAAGTAGTGATTTTACAGCATCTTACTACGCAGATGGACGGTGACTGTGAAGGGGTATGTGGGGGGGATTTGGTGAAGGGGGGATCCTAGTAAACAATGTTCTTCATGTAATTGTAGATTAATGATACCAAAATAAAAATAAAAATAAATTGGCTGCGGAAGCCAACCTAGGGCTCCAGAGCACGCAGGACGTGATGGCCAGCAGCAGGGGCTCCCCACAGTCCCTTCCACTTCCTGAGATGCCTTTGGGGTGGGGTCACCGTCCCCTCTTGGCCAAGGGGCCAGGCAGGGCCTTAGGTCCCGACCACCGAGCATCATGAGGCCAGTGGAAACCTGACAGCGGGTGGAGTCTCGGGACTGCACCCGCTCCCTGGGCCAGCTCAGCACGGGAGAAGCCACCAGGGTGGCCACGTGAGGCCCCAGGGGTCGAGTGCAGCCGCTCACCAGAGCCATGTCCCCGCGGTCCCTGCAGAGGGTGGCACGGGAGCCCCTGGGCAGCTGCGAGGCTGGGCAGGGCTTGGGAGGGGCTGATGGCCGCCGCTCTGCTCTGAAGCGTGGCCCTGCGTTCACGCTTCTGTGGGCTACGTCTTCATGAGCTCTGGCTGCCTCTTCAGCAGCAGGTGATGGTTGTGGAGACTTAGAAGCCAAGTGCCGACTCGCTTAGGCATTTTCCTCATGGGGGTCCCTGAATAAGACTGAATTTTATGTCATGCCCACTAACCGTGGATGGGCAGAGGCTCAGAGGACCCGAGGCACGGCTCGCTTGCCGCCTTCCCCTGCCACGTGTCCCTGGACTGTTTGCCCTTCACCGGTCTCGGAGAACATGAAGCGCCCACACTGGGCTCTGACCCTGGCCCATGCTGGGCACGTC